AAGGTGTGTCAAACTTATATGCTATAGTCTGTGTAGGCTGTAGTGGGGTAGTTCATATGGGGTACAACACTTTAGGGTTTCCTACTTGTACTCCTCATGCTGCTCAATGCAATCATTCCTTGTTCTTTATTTCAACACTATCCGCCGGGAGACAGATAATTGGGGCAAAGGTGCGTCGAGGAGGGCGTCTGAGTGGGGACCAGATGCAACTTTTTCTTGTCAAACTTATATGCTATAGTCTGTATAGGCTGTAGTGGGGTAGTTCATATGGGGTACAACACTTTAGGGTTTCCTACTTGTACTCCTCATGCTGCTGAATGCAATCATTCCTCGTTCTTATTCTCACATTTCTTGTTGGTTACAATGCCAGCGTCCCTCAGGTCCCTTACGATCCGTGCGCATGCGGCTCCCGCTTGTTGTGTGGTCCCGACCAAATGGCAGGGATTGGAAGAAGTAGTAGTTGCCTTCAGTTGGAATTCTAAGTACTTCTAGCAGGTGGGATGGATGTCCACGTGATGATACCCTGACTTGAGATCAACCAATAGCATCCAGTCGTTCGACTGGATCAACTTCACTACCCGGGCGAGGCCTTCGTACTTGAATTTAGGAATGCAGAAGCGCTCGTTGACCTTCCGCAGGTCGAGGATGAGCTGACATTTTTTTCGCTGTTCGACCACATTGAGTGGGCTAATGCATAGTAGGGTTGATCGGTCAGAAGCTTTTGCCGCTGCTCCTGTTCCCAGGAGATCTTGAATGGCATCACGTGAGAAATCCGAATGCTTCTAGGCGCCTGCGTGGTTTTTCCTTTCGAAAGATGCCAGGGGCCCATCCTTCCATGGGAACCAATATCCGTGTGAGATAATAGACATGATGAGGCTACTATCGCACCAGGAGCGCCACCAGTGTAGTGCTTGGTGGAGCCGTCCTCGCATTATAAACAATATCTTATTGGTTACTGCGTATTCATATGTTGAGAGCGTCGTTCCGATCCAACGGTTGTCAATTTCTGCGTGGGGTTGTCATGCACAATCGGCTATCCCACAACATTAGCGCATGCGTGACTAGGTGAGTGACAGCAAGCCGCGCTCTTGGGCGCCGTGCTTTTGCACGAGTGCAACCACGAGTGTAGATGTGTGTGTGCCTTGCATTATGTGTGTTAGTATGTGTGCGTACCTGTGTGTGTATGTGTGCGTATGTGCATGTGAAAGTATGTGTGTGAGTGTCTATGTGTGTGGGTGGGTGTGCGTGTGCGTGGATGTGTGCGTGCATGTGAGTGTTTCTCTCTCTCTCTCTCTCTCTCTCTCTCTCTCTCTCTCTCTCTCTCTCTCTCTCTCTCTCTCTCTCTCTCAAGCAGTCCTTCATTGATAGCAAGTAGGATACAGGCCAAGCATGGATAAAACAGCACAGCTAGCCTCTAGCCTACGTTGCCTATCTGCTTAGCCAATACAACGACCGGCGGGGGTATCAACAAACACAAGGACAAAGGCAACTACCGGTGGCATGCCAGCATGATGGCCTAAGCCGCCTACTGCCGTGGCTGCCCCCTCTGAGCCGCCTCTCACCCGTCCAGGGGCGGGCCCCAGTCCAAGTCATCTTCTCTCTCTCTCTCTCTCTCTCTCTCTCTCTCTCTCTCTCTCTCTCTCTCTCTCTCTCTCTCTCTCTCTCTCTCTCTCTCTCTCTCTCTAATGGTCCGTACATTGATATGGCAGAAAGGTACACACATACAAGTTCATAAGCATGCAAGTTCTAGCCTATTCCTTCTATTGTTCCACCAGTGGCTCTAAAACAGCAAAGCAATCCCCTAGGTGTAGTTCATGGCGAATACCCCCCACCGGGGGGTTCTCAGCTGCTGCCGCCTCACCCAACTTTATGAGTAGGCCCACCGACTGTGCTCTCTAAAGAGCAACCGACCACCGCTACCTGAACTGATGCAGAAACTTAGCGGCATGATAGGAGTTAGAATCGGCGTTGAAGTGGCGCCGAGCCGCCGTGTCTGCCAGGAGTTTCAGGAAGATGGGGACCTCTGCACACGGGCAACCATAGGTCTCCACCGCCAGTGGAAAGAAACCGACTGTCTCAGGTCTGTTCGCATAGTGTTGAATCTTTTTGTCTGCCTGCTCTCTGGCCGCCCATCCTCTGCCTTTCTGCGCCTCCGGGTCCCGAGTGCTGATGGGGTCTGTCACAGTTACATCACACACCCAAACCGCCCCGCTGCTCCTGTCGGTCATGGTGAAATCGGCCGTCTGCTCCTCGATGGGACAATGGGCGGCCGACTCACTGCGGACTATGAATCCCGCATCCTGTGCCATACTAATGCAAGCATCCCGGAGCTCGTTATGGGTGTTGATGCGATGCTTGCCGGTACCGCAGCGAAGGAGGTGGTTTGGGAGGCGGGGGTCCGTGATTGCGGTGTGGTCCGTGCAGTCACAGTTTTTGGGGGTGGAGAAGGGCAAACCAAGCCTGAATCTGACGGCATTGGCGAAGTGTGCTGGTCCAATGCGCCTTGTCGCCGCTATAGGTATCGCCGTCAGCCAGTCCCCCGTGCCTTAGCCCGTTAGTGAAAACATCCGCTGCGTGTGTCCCCAAGCGGATTCAGCTCCATGTCCCTCGTCGCTTGAACTTGCACTGCGTAACGGCTACCGTGGACCTGTAGGGCGAGGGCGTGCTGCAGCTTGACGTCCGTCCGTTTAATACGTTCCCGATCCAGCAGCTCACGCGCGTCGGAAGGCAGGGCGGTTTCGCATTCGGCGAGCCAGGAGTGTAGCGGCCTGCTCTCGTCTCTAGGCAGGAGCATATGGCCACGCGCGTGAGACAGTGCAGAGTCCGGGGCTAGCGCGAGCGCGGAGAAGAGCAGCGCCGCCTGTGTGAAGCTTGCGACAAAACCGTAAACTCCCTCGACGAGCGGGTCTGTAATGCCTACTTCCCCAAGAGAGGGGGGCAGGGACGCCTGAGCCCATACGCGTGACTATTCTGCTCTTCCCGCCGGAGCGCGAATGTTGCACGAGGTAAGTAGTGCCGTGAGGAGGTCACGGCCCCACTCGGTCCATGTGTCCCGGGAGACGAGATTGAGGGGGGTTGTTCGAGTGAGATACGCCACGCGCCGAGAAATGCAGTGCGTGATCAGCAGCGAAGCGACCTGTGGGTCGGCCTGCTCGATGAGTGGCAATGGTTTAGCCAAGTCCTTCAGCTGCCCCGCCAAGAACGTGGCTGCCCTGTCGGCCGCCCCTATAAAACTACCCAACAGACGGACGCCGTCCTTGCAGAACGGCACCCCTAGAGGCAGCTCAGTTGAATCGCACGTGGCAGCGCTCCATGCCGTGCACTTCTGCGGGTTGTGTTTCATGCCCAGTAATTCCAACTTCGTGGTGAAGTGGTTGAAGGGAGCTACAGTTGATCGTGGTTCACCCACGAATGTCACGTCGTCCGCATACGCCAAAGAAAGCACCTCAGGGTGTGCTGCTGCAGTGTCGCGAAGTGTGGGGTGAATTCCCGCCGCAAAAAGGAGTGGCCCCAGTGGATCGCCCTGGCGAACGCCTCGTTCACTACGCAGGGGTTTGCTCGCAAAGTTCGAATCCAGGTACAGCTCCGACGGGTTACCATAGGTCAGTCGAACCAGTGATAGTAGCGGCGACAGGGTGGGTTCTTGTAACGCGGCTGCGATGGACTGTCGCGAAATGCTGTTGAAAACATTCGCAATGTCGGTCTGCAGTACCAGGCTGTTCGGGTGGCCGTCCACGTACATTCGGGCGGCATGAATTATCGCTTCCGCCCCTCCTGGCACCGCCACGCCGTACTGTAGGGGTAGGAAGTGTTCACGTGCAGCTTCGCCCATGACCGAGAGCGCAGCCTTGGCAGCCAGACGCGTCAGGCATTCGCCGATCGCGATTGGTCGGGCACCTCCTCCTGGCTTGGCCAGGGCTATGAGTCGAGATGCTGTGAGCAGGTCCGCCACCAAAGCTGGGAGGCTTCCCCCCAGAATTGTGTTTACCAGGGCGTGCAGATGGGTGCTGACGGATGCATTGGTTATTGCCGCGTCGCGAAGATGCTCAAATGTTGTGCCTGATGGTCCGGCCCCCACGCCATTCTTGCATCACCCAAGGAGCTTCGCAAATTCAGCGTGGGAAATGCCCAGAGGACGGGTGTCGGTTGCTTGCCAAGTCAGCGACTCTGCCCCTGCTAGCGGGTGTTTCTGGCGAAGTTCGTCCAGGATTTCTGGACTCGGTGTGCAGACGGGTGTTGACTCGAGCGCCAGCACGGCTCGGTGCAGACTGCCACGTTTTGCCAACCCCTCCGCTCGACTCAGTACACCTGTCACGTCGGGTTGGTGACGCGGGGGTGGAGGGGTGTTGACCGCGTTTACTGCGTCCTCGTAGAGCTGAGTCCACTCGCCACGCTGGAAAGCCCGAAGCCGGGCCTTGATTTGCGGCCAGTTTGGGTGCTTTGGCAAAGCTTGGCGAAGGGTCAATCGCGGGAGGAAAAGGAGCAGTCGCCAACCCGCCTCGGAATCAGGGTTTCGTGAGAGGTGGTGTAGGGGAGTCAGGAGTGCCAGCGAAAATAACTGGCACAAATTTGGCGGTAATCGTCTCGACAGTGGCGGTTGTTGATTGTCGCAGAGGGTGGAAACATCCCAGTTTGCGATGTCAGCGAACATGTCGCTCCTCTCTGCCAGCTCCTCTGGCGAAAAATAGCAGGGCAGCTGCGGGGTCGCGCCTGACGCATGGTGGAATGATACGGTCCGATTTCTGCCATGGGTAAATTGGCTGCACCTGGTCCTCTCCTCCCTTTTCCTACCCTTGTTGTCTCTGCTCCATCCCCCTCTTCATTTTCACTCTTTGGCTGCACTTCCACGATATAAGAGGGGTCATTTCTCTCCTCAACTTCATTAGCTGCTACCAGAGCTATTAAAGCCCGTCTCCCTGCCGCCTGATACCCGTTCTCCGGTCCTCCGCCTGCTCCGCTAACTGCCTGGCTCCTCTCTCCCTGAGCCCCTCGTCTACGCGATGGTGATTGCCGGTGCGCCTGAGCCGTCGCCAGAGCTCGTTGCCGCCTGGTCGGCAATGGTCGCCAAGCCTCAGTCTGAGCCCGAAAGGGCGACCACGGCGACGAAGCCCCCTCTGCCTCCGGCTCCGAAGCCCTCGACAACATCCTCTGAAAAGATTCCTCACCCCGGACCCGCGGCTCTCCTTGTCGCGGATGCGCCTGGTTCAACTGCGACTGTTGTCGCTCAGGCTCCTGCAACCGCTACTGCTGTGCCGTCCGCCCCGGCTGTGCCGGCTGATCCCCAGGCGTCCCCTGCTGCACCGCCGGAGTCTGTCGCCGACCCCTCGGCTCCCGTGCCTGCGGGACTTGTTGCCGCGCCTTAGTTGCCAACTCCTGCCTCTGCCTCGTCCCCGCAGGCGGCGTCCGCCACCACTGGCGGCCCGGCCTCGTTGGTTGCGCCGCCGGTTGGGGATCCGGCTGCCCCCGTTGTGCCACCGACTGCTCCAGTGGCGCAGCCGTCTCGCCCGCCGTCGCCTGCCCGCCGCCCATCTCGCCCCCATTCTCCCGCTCCCCACCAGGATCGTGAGTCCTCACGGCGCCGGCGCAATTCTCCCCGTCGCCACCATCCGCAGGCCCAGTGGCACGCGAACCGCAACGGTCGCGGTGGCTGGTGGGGTCCCCACGGTCGCGGAGGTGGTGGGGCGTACGATCCGCCCGTGAGGATGGCGGATCTGCAGCGGGCGGTGTCAACTGTGGTGCGTGAGGAGAGGGCCGCCCTGACCCAGGGCAGCTCTCACGATGTCATGGCCCATGCTGCTCCTCGACAGGCTGTGCTTCCTGAGAATCCGCCGCCTGCTGCACCAGTCCCTCATCGGATTCCGACCCCATCGGCTCCCGCTGCTTCTGCCTCCGCTCCTGTTCCTGGGTCTCGGCTTCGTCTGGCGCCCGTTCCGCCAGTGGCGGGAGTCGAATTTGTGGCGGGAGGAGGAGCGCAGTATCCTCATCCCGGAGTTGGCGGTTCAGCAACTCTTGCCCTCGAGGAGCCGTTTTAGTTTCTAGCGCAGGCATTACAGCCTCCATAGTGCCGTGTTCCAGAGGCGACTCTCGCCCAGCTCTTCCGCCTCGCGGAGAGCTTTCACGCTCTGCTCCTGATACAAGTTCTCGCGCACTCGTCACTTCCTGCAGTTCCCCCTGAGACGTTCCAGGATCGCCACCGTGAGTCGTGCCTGGACGCAGCTGACCAGCTCGCAGTGTTGCTGGCGCCCGTGCTGGCTGCGCCCGCAGAGGGTGGGGTTGCGGCTGCTGGACAGCTCGATGAGGCTGTACGCAGCCTGAGGCGCCATTTGCGTGCAGGTTCTGGAGCCGCCGCGATCGGCGCAAGCACGCTTGTGGTCCGGGAGCTGTGGCGGACCCTGACGGGCGTTCTTCACGCCCTTGGAGCTCACCGCATGTAGATGCGGGCTCCGTTTGCCCCATACCCGTTCTAGGCTGTTCTGAAATCTGTTTGTGATGCCATGCGTATATTGGCTGCGCCTATGATTGTCACTGTGTCTTTTTCCTTGCCGCGGCCGGCGCGAGCGAAAAATTGCAGCCGCCAAATGAATAATGAGCAAAGGAAGCTAGCACAGGCCCTTAAATAGCTAGGCTACTAAGGGCCGAGGCTAATGGCAGGGGGCAGAGGCTAACCCTCTCTCTCTCTCTCTCTCTCTCTCTCTCTCTCTCTCTCTCTCTCTCTCTCTCTCTCTCTCTCTCTCTCTCTCTCTCTCTCTCTCTCTCTCTCTCTCTCTCTCTCTCTAACGGTCCTTTGCATTGATAACAGGGGCTGGTACAGACATGCAGATCCTAAGGGAGATTTCAGCAAGCATAAGGACAAGCAAACAAAACCTATGGAGCAACCAAACACGCAATCAAGCAACCACAAACCCCTACCCACCCCCCCCCCCCCCCCCTATGTCTAAGGTGCCTCTAGTGTTGTGAAGCAGTCCCCGGGGCTCATCTCCCCCTCTGGTCCCCCCAATGGGGGGTTCTCTGCTCGGGCTGCCAGATTCTCTCTCTCTCTCTCTCTCTCTCTCTCTCTCTCTCTCTCTCTCTCTCAAGCAGTCATGTATTGATATGGGTCACAAGGTACAGGCATGGCAAGTGGTGGTAACTAGCTCGACTAAGCATGGAAGCAATCAGGAAACCAGAACTAACCAGCAAACAGAGCAAACCCCTTCAGCCAATGCACACAAAAAACCTTGCTCTTAGAGCATCCTGGTTCATGGCAGCACAAGTATCTGAGGACCCCACATTCCACCTATCCCTTGTTATTCCCATACCACAGGGCCTCCCCTTATCCTTCTTCACCCCGCAGCTTCCTCGCACTTTCCCTGAGACGCCCTCCATCTCCCTGGCCCACCTGGAAACTCCCAGACTCAGTATTCCTCTTCCTGACCCTCATCACGCCCCTTTATCCCTCCCCTGCCGCTACCCAGCCTCCCCTTGTCACCGAGATTCCTCCTCCCCAGCCCCCTAAGCCGCTCTAGCGGGAGCCTGGCGCTCCTCATACTCGTCCATCTGCATCTGCCAGAGGTCTCCCAGCCGGGGTGCCCAAGGGTCCGCTACAGCCTGAGGGAATGCCGCTTCTGCTGCCCGGTTAGACTTGGAGAGGAGGGATGTCGCCTGGCTGCGTTGGAGCATCACCGACCACCGCTGCCTGTAGTGTGCGTTGATGCGGGCAGCGGTGGTGGTGAGGCGCCCCTGGTGGTACTTCTTCTTTGCCGCGTAGCTAGCCAACATACGGAGGAACTGTTGAGTGTCAGTGGCCAGAGCCCCGTAGGTCTCAACCGCCAGGCCGAAGAAACCAACATAGCCAGGACGCCCCTCGTAGAGCCTGTGCTTGGCCTGCGACGCCTCCTCAGCTGCCCACCCCGGCGGCTTCCGTGCCCTCACATCCCTCCTCTGAAGGACCGGGTCCGTCACAGTCACGTCCGTGGCCCAAGTCTCTCCCGACTCTTGGTCCCTGACGGCTAGGTCGGCTCGCTTGTTCTGGACAGGGGGAGAGAACGCAGTCGTCTCGTGAAAGGTCTTGTACCCGGCTTCCTGCGCCATGCGGAGAGCAGCGAAGGCCAGCGCGTTGTGGGTGCGCATAGCATCCCCCCCATCTGCACACCGTAGCAAGTGGTTCGGCAAGCTCTTGTCGGCTATCGTGGAGTTGGATCTCTTGCAGGGGCAGACCTCCACCACTGGTAGTTCCATGCCCAGGCGCAGGCCTAGTGCCATGGAGAACTGACCAGGGGAAATTGAGAGGTCAGCCCTCGTTGGCACAGCATGTAGCCAGTTGCCCGCTCCTACTCCTTTCAGGCTGATGAGCCGAATGGCATGGCCTCGGTCCACCCCCGGCCTATCAGTCACCGTATCCGCCAGCAGCTCTTCAGCCCACGTGTGGTTGATGGCCTTGGATAGCCCCAGCTGCAGATTGCCCACACCCTTGGGGTTCTCCCTATAGCTGCGTAGGACCGCCGCAGCTTGTGCTGGGAGCCTCGCCTCGCCTCGAGCGGTGACAGCAGGTTGACCCGGGAGGGAGGTGGGGCCCATGACGGGGAGAGGAGGTCCCCTGCCCTGTGAAGAAGGTAATAAGGCGGCAGGTTCAGCTGCTGCAGTAGAAGGTGCGCCGCTGCAGTTGAGGCTAGGTATGCTGCTGGGGCTTCGGAGACGGGGTCAATGATTCCCAGGCCTCCTAGCCGAACCGGGAGCGCTGCCTGGCGCCATAGTAAACTCTGCTCTAGCTCGCTCGGCGGGATCTGAAGCTTCGAAGCCGCGAGCCCTGCTCCCACCAAATCCTCGCTCCACTCCCGCCATTCCGTACGGGCCAGCGCATCTGCTGGTGTTGTGCGAAGTAAAAACGAGATGCGGCGGGAGATGCTCTGGGATAGCATGAGTAGTGCGTGCTGCAGGTTAAGTTGGGAGACGAGATGTAGCGGCGCAGCCGCCTCCGCAAGCGTCGCCCGGACCTGGTCGGTGCAGAAGGCGTCGCTGCCGACCGGGCTGCCCAACACTTTCAAACCGCCTGGGTGGATAGGGAGACCGTGTGGCAGGCCATCTCCCCCTTCCTCCCGTACCGCACACCATGCCGCCGACTTGGTAAGGTTGCACCGTAACCCACTTGAAGCCAGCTCCGTGACGACCGTGTTAAATGCCAAGCACGCTGCCTCACGAGGCCCGACGATGGTGATGTCGTCAGCATAAGCCACTATTGCCACCTCCGGTACGCTCGTGGCCACGCTGAGTAGTATTGGCTGGATCGCCGCCGCAAAAAGGAGAGGTCCCAGCGGATCTCCTTGGCGGACACCCCTGGAGCTCTGAATGTGCTGCACTTCCAAACGAGGGTCGACTAAAAGCCGCGAGGGGCCATCGTAGAGGTTCCGGACGAGCGGGAGCAGCGGGTTGAGAGTAGACCACTGGAGGGCGGAGAGGAATGACGCGCGCTCTACACTGTTAAAGGCGTTCTCAACGTCCAGCTGTAGAGCTATGCGGGTATCATTGTCTCTAAGGAGGGAGCGAACCGTGTGGATGATACACTCCGCACCTCCTGGGACCGCTACGCCGAACTGGACGGGAAGAAAAAACTCCCTGATTTTTGGGCCTAAACTGTGTAGCGCCGCCTTAGCCACCACTCGGAGTAACGCCTCGCCTATTGCGATCGGTCTAACTCCTCCCCCAGGCTTCTCTAATGCTATGAGCCGAGAAGGTAGTAGAAGGGCGCGGACCGGTTGGCTCTGGAAAGTGCTGGCAAGGCGATTTACCACATTCGCCAGCAGCAGTAGGATCTCTTCATTCGCCAAGGCTGGGTCTCGTAGATGTTCAAAACAGCAGCCTGAGGGCCCCGCTCCTACCCCATTCGGGCATTTCGCGAGGTTTTCGTGTAGAGTTTCGAGTGGAATATGTTAGAATGAGAAAGATGTCGACTAGAAGGAATCGAGAGTACAAGTACAAACCTAGACTCATGTACCCCCTAATGCTAAACCCAATATAGCCTACATCACTATAACATATATGATGTTTGACACACCCCCATAGGCGAAGTGGGGGAGAGCAAAGGGGTCACAAGACCAGTCAAGAAAGACAAAGCAAGCTGAGCACAAGCAAAGGGCCACAAGGCTAGTCCACATGCACAGGCATATATGCAACACAAGCAGCACAGTGATCTCTATCTAGCAATGCAAACATGCAGGTATATATAGAACACAGTACAAGCAAAGCCTACAGCAAGTGAGGAAAAGTGGGCACCAGCCCTAGCAAAGTGCAGAAACGCTGATGATTACCAGCCTGAAGTGCCTTGGTGAATATATCAGCAGTGTTGGCCCGAGTGGCCACGTAACGCAGACGAAGCTGACCACGCTGCTGCAACTCTCGAGCTAGGAAGTAACGGAGAGCGATGTGCTTCGTTCTGTGCTCCAGTCTGTGCTCCTCACACAAGGCAATGGTAGCCTTGTTGTCGACGTACAGCACTGGGGGGGAACGAGGCCGCTCTCCCAAGTCGGTCAGCAGGTAGGTCAGCCAGCGTAACTCCTGTGCAGCCATGGCTGTGGCGTAGATCTCAGCCTCACAACTGGAGCTGAGAACCGAGGACGAGCGAGTAGAACGCCAAGAAACTGAACCAGAGCCAAGGCTGAAGGTGTAACCCTGTGACGACCGCTGAGTAGCCTGGTCGTCAACCCAAGAAGCGTCTGAGTGCCCAGTGAGGACAACTGGATTTTTCCCTCCAAGCACGAGCCCCATGCCTGATGTGCTGCACAAGTAGCGCAGTACCCTCTTAGCGGCAGCCATGTGCTCAGGTCGGTGCCGACCAGGAGCCACGTAGCGAGCCAGGAGACCAAGAGGGTAAGCGAGGTCAGGACGAGTGCAAGTCATCAGGTACATGAGGCAGCCAACTAGCTCTGGGTAAGGACCACTCGGCTCTACGGACTCGTCCGAAGGTGGAGCTGAGAGCGAGTGACCTGTAGCCAGAGGAGTGGCCTGTGCCGAGGACCAGGTGAAGCCGAAGCGCTGAAGGACCTGCTGCACCATGTGT